ATATTAAGTGTATGAGATAGGTCTCAATCTATCCTTGTCTCGCTTATCATATAGATAATTATTTACAAAACACCATCGATCTCTCTCTTATTTTTATACTATTATTATTCTAATGAAGACTAGTTACTTACAAAAATATTTCTTTGAAAATAATTTAGATTAAATTAGGATTTAATTTTAATCATTATTGTTATACGCAAATTAAAATAATGAATTAGAAAGAAAATCCAATGGAAAAACATGGAATCGATTAATTAAGTTTTCATTTAACTTTGATTTAGATATGGAGAGGAACATATTGTTTCTTTCGTATCTTTTTGAACATTTTGATAAAAATATTAACAGAATATTAACTTATCTTTTATATAAGAAAGATTAATAATAATGCTGCACAAAGAATCGTGAATTTTCTTACGTCCATTTTCAGATCCGTTTAATCACTGGCTAACGATTCGAGCCAGTTGGTTTACACGTAGCCATTAATAATTTATGAATTGGACGGATATCGTGGACGTGCTGTTAACACCACGCTCGTGTTTAACATGTCGTAACGTATGGTTCACTGATGTAAACGAGTTGAAACGTGCTACGCATTAATCTTTGCCGAGTTTATGCATGTAACAACTAACTTACGTATCGTGGAGAGATGCAAAATTGAAACATTTGGGATAGCACAATGTCAACGATCCGAAAGCTATATCAATCTTTTCTCCAATTCGAATTGAATTCCCTTTTGCTCGAACCAACTCGATTAAAATAATTATTCGACGTTTATATTATATTTTTATTCCTGATTTGATGTTAAATGATTGCGGAGATAATTTTTTTGGCAAAATTAAAAATAATCGGAGAAAATGAAAATCAGGCTAAAAATTTATTGTAATTACGAATATCTGGTATCTCATGATTGTTGATAATTATAGTCCATAAAATATCGTTCCAAAACAAAATTTTATTCCAATCAAACGTCATTACTGCCCTGACTTAATATTCCACTTGGTATATTAAAAGTATATTATATTTCATCATTAAATATCGTTTTCCATTCACTTTCAAAATATATTTTCTCACTGCTAATATATATATATATATATATTATATATAT